CGTTTTTCTTGCAAAACATGTAAAAACAAAACAGAAAAAAAATGGGATGATTTTTAGTGCTGGGACTAAATATTTTAAAGTATTAAGATTAAAGTATATTAGACTATAGATTAAAAACAACATTTTTAGGTTAGCCAGTAGGAATATGCACCTGATTTTTTATGAAATGAAATTCTTAAGATTTAAATTGTACAATAGTTTGTGAAACTTATTACTGCTTTTATTTAGCAGACTGTGGATCCTAATAAAAATACAGATTAAGAAATATAAAACCTTTGAACTCATTCAAAACATCAAACCAAACTAGTTTTACTTCAGTATTCTTTGATTAGTGTCGTGACATACATCCTCCTTCAGTCTAAGGTGTTTGACATGGTTCTTTTCACAACGTGAGCTACTTTCTCTGTTGAGAAAGGTGTGTATCCCTTGTGATCTCTGTTTTTTTTAAAGTCTATTTTTTATTGTTACTTTTCTCCTTAAAAAAAAAAATATATATATATATATATTCTTGAGGTTTTCTTTGTATTATTGCAAGCCAGGACAAGGGGGACCCGACCCAGCTGTCTTGGAAACAGCTGTCTGGAGAAAACATGCATGCTCCGGTGGCCTTGGCTGACCAGAAGGGCCTCCGTGGCCCAGGGCAGCCCCCACATTCTGGTAGTGGGCACTCAGCCGCCTTTGCAGACCTGCTTACTGCTCTGTCACTAAGATCTTGGTGATAACAGATTTTCATTTTAGCAGTCTCCTTTGCAAGTGAAAAGAATGATTCTTGGAGTTGTTAAAGCAGACCTTTTCCTTGATTTTTTTTCTCTCCCCTGTCCCTGGTGCTCAAGTGGCGTCATGGGCTGCGACTAGGACAGCACTTCAGTTGGCCCAGTGTAGCCAGGTCCTCAGTAGCTGTCAGCTTTTGCCTCCTGTGAAATCCATATTATTGAATATCTGGTTAAATTTGTGTTTTTGTATCTTTTGAAGTGTAGTGTGGATGGAATTTCTGTTTTAATAAGCTTAGGTAAAAGCAAACTAG